TTGTCATAGCAACCTTCCGAGGAAGATATTATCATTATGCCCAATTTACAGATGGGGAATTTAGGCACAGAGGTTAAGTAACGTGTCCCACATCAGATGGCTAGTAAGTGGCAGGGCTGGGATATGAACCCACAACCTCTAACTCTAGAGCTCACTTTAAACAAGGTACTGTAGGAACCTATCCAGGGGTGGAGTCTGCATCAGGAAAGGCTGGGCAAAGCTGGGCAACCTCCCACACTCTGCAATCCCACAGCTTCGTGCTCTCATCACCCAACATTCCTTGTTGGGCAGAACCAAGACTAGCCTGCCCCCAAACTCCTTGAAAGGCCCAGTGTAGATGAAGGGGCCCTGTTGTTATGCAATAGTCAGGAAAATCCTTTCTGGCACATGGATTTCTTGGGTTCACAGAGCAAAAAAGCCACCTGCTCAGCCTCTAGGCCACAAGCCAGCCCCAGACAGTAGACTAGAACTAGGGAGGCAAATGTTCTGTAACACCCACTGGCTCCCCCATCATTAATTTCCCTGATACCTATTGTGGTGCCCATGAGTATTCCCTCATCACGAGCATAGGCATAGTCTGTCAGTCCACTGGCCTGAGCTTCTAAGCTTTGTCTGCTGAGCTTCATTCCTTTCTCAGCCTGATATTGGAGGGATCGAGCTGTCCCCAAGTTAAACCCCACTCCCACCTTCCACAGAGTGGATGCTTTGTTCTGACAGACATCCCAGCTACAGCTTGTAGCCAGTCTGTGCTCAGTGGCCATTCAGTACTTTTTAGTGTTGGAGAGCAGGCGGGTCACATGTAGGGCTGACATTTTTCATTTTTTGAGAATGGATCAAAATTGTGTACTCTTTTGAAAAAAAAAATCATGCATATACAGACTCAAAGCACTTACTATACAAGCTAGGGAATTCACAGATTCACCCTAAAGTCCATCCTTGTCACCTCGGTTAAAGCTCCTGATTTTACGGGGGGAATTAAGCAATCAGTCTCTAAGCATTACTGCCAGGGCCCTGCGGGACTACCAAAAAGAGGATGGCTTAGGGCAGGCAGTCTGCATCACCAAGCTTACTAGCCAATTCCAACCACTCACTATGCCCCTTACTTTTGGCTGCTTTATGCAGCTTTGACTTCCCCACTGCCTGTGTTGCTGATCCTCCCTCAGTACCCTACAGACATTTTAGCCACATCTGAATTCCCTAAATCACTCATTCAAAACAGTGGCCATGTCATGTCACTCCGACCTTTGAAATGAGTCATTGTCTTGTTCTGGTTTTGCTCATCTTTTCTAGGGTTGATGCAACATTGCCTCCCCAGCCCTCCTGCAGTGGCCGGCACTGACACTCCCCAAGCTTCCTAATGGTGAATCTGAGCACGTAATTCTCCTCCCTAAGCTCTCCTCAGATTGGCCCTCATGCGATCAACCTGTTCATCTTTACCTTATCCTATTCTTCCACACTCACATGTGAATTTGCCTGAACAGCCAGCCAACTTTCTAGCCACACGCAACTAAATTTAATCCATCAGAAACTCCGTTCAATTGTGGGCTTTGCTACTTTCATTTTCTGTTGATGGTCTATCCTTCAAAGTCTAGTTAGGCTGTTTCCTTTTGTGTGTGAGACCTTTTCCCATCCTTCCTGCCTTCCTTTCCCTCCTAAACTCTGGGGTTATTGTGTGCCCCTTTCAGACTTTGTGCTTCTATCACGGTTACCTCATATGTACTGTGGGATTAAAAAGAAAATTATTGATATGAGATTTACAGATATACCTATTTGCAGGGTCCATGTGTTATTTTGATACATTCATATAATGTGTAATGATCAAATCAGGGTAATTGGGATATCCATCACCTTAAACATTTATCTTTTCTTTATGCTGGAAATATTAAAATTATTCTCTTCTAGCTATTTTGAAATATATAACAGATTACTAACTATAGTCACCCTGAAGAGAGGATGATCAATGGGTACAAAAATAGTTAGATGTACTGTAGTTTTTACTTTACATGTCTCCCTCAACTGAGCTATGAACTTTTTGAGCACAAAAGTCATGTCTAACTCTTTTTAAAGTCATGAGCAACTAGAACAGTGCTTGGCACTGAGCTGAAAAAATGGAGACATAAAAGAATGAATGCAGCTCCTCCCAACTCTTCCTTCACCTACTCTATTCCCTCCTCCTCTGATAGCCTCTTCTCCCGTCAACGTGGAACCTCACCTGTTGCAGGGAGTCCTGCTCATGTTGGCTTCTCACTTCTGCCAAAACTTAGCTGGCTAATAACATTATCCACCTGGGTAGTCATTCACACTTCTTTCTCTGCATGCAACTTACCTTCTTTTGCATCACTTCTGCCATCTCCTAGGTGCGCAGTACTGCCCTTTCTGGTGCCACTACAATACCCAATACCTAAATCTTTTTAGCATTCTGTTGTATTACATTTGATTGATTTTTGTTATTCCAATAAACCATGAACCTCTTGAAGAGAGAGAATATATCTAATTTACTTAGGATCTCCAATGACTTGTAATGGTCCTGCTCAAGAATTGTCTGACACTTGTTCAAATGCCTGTTGAATGTCTCTATTTCTGCTGTGAAATCCTGACAAGTGGTCATCCAGACCTGCTAGAACATCCCCTATGACAGAAAGCTGTTTCCTGAGTTCCATTTTTTGAATACCTGGTGATAAAATTATTTTTTGAACCTAAATTTCAATCTTCATGACTTCTTCCAAGGGATCTTATCTTCAACTTTCAGAGTAATAAAATATGAATCTGGTCTTTTCTTACCCTCAAATATCACTATATGGCCCTCAGATATCCCCAAAGGATTCATTCCTAGTGCTGCTAATCCTGTGCTTCTCAAACCTGTTTACACAAATCATCTGGGAATCTTGTTAAAATGAAGATTCTGATTCGGAAGGTCCAAGATTCTGCATTTCTAAACAGCTTTTAGGTGATCTAAAGATCATGCTTTGAGTAGCAACGCTCTGGTCTAACATATTTTTCATACACTAAGGCTCCCAGTCCCTTCATCATCTTTATCTTTCTTTTGCAGGAGGCTGTTTGCCGGAGACTTCTTTGGAGGGTGGCAGCCAAAGCTTACCATCCTCCATTAATGTAGTAAAGATACAGTTCAATGGAGAATATTGGATTTCAAGCAAGGATATCTGGGCTTGTGTCCAACCTCTGCCACATACCAATGATGTGACATTGGATAAGTCAGATAAATTCACCTTTCAGAATCTCAGTTTTCAAAAGGGAGACACTCAGCGACTGTGTCTTGTAGTTGGATCAGTGGATCGTGTGACACACAGTGTCTGGGAGACACCAGATTAGTGGTTACGTATTGCATATACCGGAGCCATCATTTAACTTCTTTTAATGCAGCTTAAAGTTTCACCTGCTCTGTTGGCATTTGCATCACAAACTTGCAAACTTAAACCCTTAAGTCTTTAATAATAGTTATCCAATAACCCCCACAAGACGCAAGGCACTGGTGACCTTTTTATACCTATTTTCAGCAATTTTCACACACAATCACCAAAAATTCTTCTACCAGCCAAGGCGATCTGGGTCTAACTTACATTTTGCCTTCCTGTTCCATGTGTACTCATCAGGGAAGATACTGTTTATCAGAGGACATCCTTTCCAGATAAAATTAGACTTTTCAAATATCAAAGCATTGGATAGCTTGCCTTCCCCACAGATCCACAAAATTGGTGGTCAGATCACAGTGGGAAGATAAGAATTCAGCATTCTGCTGAAAATGTGTTAATGTGGTCTTCAGTTTCCTAATTAGCACAATGAGAGGTTTGGACTAAGTCATTTGCAAATCTTGCTCTGAAAAGCCCTAAAGGTTCCATGGAGATGTCAGAGGCCAAGAACTCAGATGGGAGAATGGAAGGCATTCTTTCACACACATGTAGGTGCACATGCTAGCAGCCTGACTCACATTTTAAACATTGGATCCCGAGTGAGATTTATTTGAACATTAATTGTTCCAAAAATGTTAAAATGTTTTAAAGTCATTTAAATGGGACAATTGCTAAGGCAACTTATGGTGATTCTTTGAAAAATCTGTTGGTCAGTAGATAGGTAACTTGGTGAATCTCAAAACCCGTGATGAGGATTAAAGATATATACTGTAGTTACTTTCCTTTCTCTAGCCCAGGCTGACTCAGGGAATCATTTTCAGCAGACTGCTCAGCAGATTGCTCCTGGCAATTGGAGAGGTAAAATATTCTGGATAACTTATTTCTATCAACAAGTAGAGTCCTGATGAATACCATGCTTGGCTCGTGTGCCTCAAACACTCAGAAACAGCATTTGCAAGCATGCCAACCAGTATTTTTAGGATTTGCATTCCCAAGAGTATCCTATTTGAAGAGGTTTCACATGTTCTCATCTACACTTTTTTTTTTTTTTTATCCTAATAGCAAGAACTGCTAAATTAGAAACTTGGAAAGGAATTTTTCTTCTCAATTTTTGGCTGTGCAAAATCTCAATGTTCATGGCATAACTTCTCTGACTCAGTAACTTGAAGTGTTAAATTTAACAACATTTAATTTTCCAAATTTGGATTTTTTTTTTATTCAATGATTTAAAACATTGAGTTCAACATCACCCCCAAGTTATCCAGCTCAATCAACCAAGTGTTTACAGGTCTAACAGGGAGAAGAGCAAATCTATGTCTAACTTCTGCCCTTAGAAAGACACAATGTTCATGGAGCAGGGAGGGGTATGTTTGCCACATCAATATATAAATAACTCCAGGATAGAAACATGCATTCACAGGATGTTAAAGAATGATTCCACTACTGCTGGGCAAATTGACACAGACATAAAAACAACACAAGCTCACAACCACATTCTTCAAATTCTAGAAGGGTTTACAATGATTATGCTTTTGCTCATGAAGTCATTCATTTAATGAAAGGGGCTTTACCTCACTGTATACCCAGCTCTGTAGTGCCTGGGGTTGAGTAATGAACAGGAGACACATTCTGTACCCAGAGATCACAATTTAATGGGGAAACAAGTATTTAAGTCTTGAATAAAAAAGCAACTTAAATTCCAAAAATGATATAAGGTGTTCCCAGTTTATGTCATGATTCTGTGGCCAATTTTTAGGTTACTGTTTTCCATTAATGTCTTCTTTCTGTTCCCAGATGCAATCCAGGGATCCACACTGCATTTCATTGTCCTGTCCCCTGAGTCTTCTCTGATTTGTGGCAGTTTCTCAGTATTTTGTTATTTTTTATGAACTTAACAGTCTTGAGGAGTACTGGGCTCACAACTATCCTGTAGAATGTCCTCAATCTGGGTGTGTCTGATGCTTTTTTCACGGTCACCCTGGAGTTGTAAGTTTGGGAAAAGAATATCATGGAGGTAAAGTGCTCTTCATATCATGGGTACAAGTCAACCACATGGTATCAGTGATGGCATCAACTTTTACCACCTGGCTGAGACAGTGCCTACCAGGTTTCTTTTCTATAGAGTTGTCCATACTCTACTTTTTGGAAGTGAGTTACTACGTCTAACCCACCTGAAAGCAAGAGTGGCTTAAATGCTACCTCCTAGAGGGAGGAGTAACTACAATTCCAATTATGATTTGGAATATTTATCTAAAGAAATGTGTCTCTTCTCCATTTTTTTACATAAATTTATTGTCATTTATTTATGTCAATGTGGATTCATGGACACCAATTTTATGCTTTGGACTATAATCCAATCATCCGTCACTTATTTTATTTGTTCAAATCATTCCAGCTTTGGTCATTGGAAGCTAATTTGTTTTTATTATTTCTAAAATATCAGTTATAAGGGGTTCCAGGTCAATCCCTTCTAACCCAACATTCTTAAATAGTAGCTCCATCCAGAATGATCTCTACTACCTACCCTAACAGTCTTTTTCTGCTTAACCATATATACTAGAATAACACTATTTTCTCTTAACAGCTCTGTGTCATGAATTTTTCACCTCTCTTCTGATACTGATGGAAAATACAATCTATTTGAGCAAACCAGGGTGTATATGCGCTATGGTCAACCTTAGTTGGAAAGGTTGGTCAAGGCTTAGTTTGGAAAGGTGATTTACTGCACTCTGATAATCCATTTTGCAACACAAAATAAACACATGATTCTTTAATACAGAAAAAGCAAAATTTTACCTATAAGTCAAATAGTGACCAATGGAGTCATAAAACTAATACAAATCTAAGGAGGTATTTGTGTGCTGGTTCTTCTTTCATAACAAAGATATATTTTCAGGTAAGCCTGCGTGCCTGCTATATTTAATATTTTGCTTATGGCCCACTTACCTCTCTCCTCCTTAGATGCCTGCATTATTAATAGGTACCAACATTAACATTTTCCTAATCTTGCATAATACTCACATAATCACTCCCAAATTTGTCACAAAAAGGTCACCAAATTCTGCTATGATTTTCTACTTAGCCACACCCGAAATGATCACTTACAGTACTAGAAACCTTGGTTTTTCTCTACAGGAAGCCAAGACAGTTGTCCTTCAACACACACAGTGAGTCTTCAAGCACAGAGACTAAATTAAAACGTGTTTACATTGTTTATTTTTAATGTAATTTATAACACAGTATAAACATACATTAACGATAATGTGGCAATTTAGATTAGGAATAACATGAGGTTATTTACATGATGGCATATATATGTGTGTATGTATATATACAAAAAGTGCAGATAAATACAGAAACACTACAAAATAAACAAAAACCTCAATATGATAATTTACTGACAATCATTTTCATCATATTATGTGTCATGTTAATGGCTGCAAAGCTCCTAGAACTGAAATATAATATCTAAATATCCAACTTTTACATAAACTACAGTACCTCAAATTTTAACAGTATATAAATAGGATTCTGAATTAAAAACCAAGCATCTTCCCTGCCAAACTCCCTCTGTGTAAAAGTTTCAGCTCAGAGTTCAAGGACTCTTGAAATCCCAGCCTTCAATATGCGGTGATACCTTGGATTTTAAGCATAAATCCTGTTAGTCAGTGTTCTTAGATAAATTCTAATGGGTGTCATTTTCTCTGCAAAAAAGGAGGCAGTTGAAGATTAAAACTGCCAAATGCTGCCATATAAAGAACAAGGCACAATTTCAAAAAGACTGAGTAGATTCAAGGGGGAAATGAGTTGCTCTCAACCCTGGAAGAGTAAAGACCACGGGACGTACTCTCAAGAGACAGCAGATGGTACAAAAGGGAGAAAGTGGTGGTCATGGCACCTTCAGGCCTCTCCCCACAAAATGTAAACTCCTCAAGTAGCCCTGTACATAAGCATTGTGAATGGTGCAAGATATCTATCTATGTTTGTAATAAATGAAAATGGTCCCTGCCTTTTGGGACTCCCCAGTAAGCACACAGACTCTATTTCTCCCTAAAGCACCAAGAAATGTGAAATGTTCACCCTGAACTTGGCATCTCTGAGTGCTAAGGGAAGAACCGATGACCAGCTGGGCTCCCCAAGCCAGACAATAGTTCCTAAACACTGGTCTAGGACATGCAGATCAGTTTTCTGCCAATGGCTTACCATGAGAGCTGTCAACATTCTTATTTAAGATTCTTTATTAAAAACACTGAGTGTAGCTGCCCTAAAAAATGAAAAATCCAATTTATTGATCTGACCCTCTAAAAGCCCACGTCATTCATTAAGCCGGAGCTTTCCCAAGGTTATTACCAAGTAGATCCTGCACATTTTGAAGCAGGGAGATAATGGTGACAATGAATGCATACAATGAATGTGTTCAGGAAATTGAGACTAGTTGATGAATACCTGATATTAGGTCTGTGAATCAACAGGAGACAGGGAGGACATAGAGTGTTCAGAAAAGCTATCATCATTTTTTCGAAGTGTTTTGATTTTGGTAGATAACAAGAAAGGGTAGGAGGCAAAATTTTATAGTAATTTCTTCCCTAAGGGAGAAACCTTTAGTCAAGAGGAAAATAACTTCTGGACAAAGGAAAAAAAATTTTTTTCTTTACCAGGAGATGTGATTTCAGGGTCCTACCCAGTGATGTGAGGTCACAGTAGCAGCTGTGAATTACAAATATATCATAAACTCAAAGAACAAAACCTGTTCCTAAATTGGTCTGCCTCTGACTTCAGCCAATAAAGTATAAATCAAATCGGGTTTCCACATGCTAATGAAGGTATCTTGAATACATGCTTGGAGGTATTACTACAAATTAAAGTTGTTTAAGGCCAAACTCTGAGGGATTCTTCTAAACCATCATCCATGTGAATGATACCCTTTTCAACACAGACCCCAAAAATGAGGCTGGGAGTGAGAAGGTTTGCAGGGTATCATCTTCACAGGATTATAGAAGAAATTTGTTTTTCTCACAACACAGTGGATTTTTAGATGGAATACCACAATATGCAAAGCTAATTATCACAGAAAAAGAACAAAAGTCATATGTATCTTTATTTTTCCTATTTGGAGACCTAGACAATTTGGGATTATAAGGTACATTTTTTTTTCTCCACCATCCCTGAAAGAGCCAGCAAAGGAGAGAGCCGTCATTGAGAAACCTGGCTATGCTGGTATATGCCACAAAGCACAGGGAACTAATGCAAGTAGTAAAGCCACCCACAAACAAGGAGAAATGGTCCTTCCTCATACTTCGTGGACATTACAGGAATATAAAGATTATCTTACTTTTCAGACATTTATATATAACACAACAGAAAAATCCTTCAGTTGGCTCACTGGTTTCTATAAACTTGGTAGAGTTAGGGCACAACAAGAGAGTTATCTGTGAAATACACAAATATTTTGTACTGAGGGATATTTTCACATAATACATAAGATGATTAACTTAGACCCCTCAATCTCATCCTCATACTGATATTTTAAGCTGTGATTAGGGTGCACGTGTTGTGTGTTTCGAAGGTATGAATGTGGCAATTCTAACATATCTTCACCTTGTCTCTGAAAAGCTAAAGTGTTATTGAAATGCTATTAAAATTTTGAATGTGATCCTCCTCCAATGACTTTCATTGACTTCCTGTGTAATTAACACTCCATGTGATTTATAGTTCATGTCCTGATTTTCTCAATGCTCATAGATACCTTATCTGTAGGAAATTTACTTCAAGGGAAAAGCAGCTTGCACTCAGTATATGGCCATGACTTGCCTACACACATGATCAATATGAAGAAAAAAGAACCATTCTCACAAACCTACAAGATTAAAACTTCAAACAAAAGCAAAACTTGAACCAGTACTTTTGCAGCTTGTCTCCAGGAAAGGGACCACAGCAAGTACTGGGGCCAAGGCATATGCCCTGCCATCAGAAAGCAGAGCGAGGCGTCGTACCCAGGTCCTATACAGCAAAGGCTTTAATTCCACATGGAGCATCTGTGGAATTAGCTCACAAACAACTCAGAAGAAGGAACACTCTGGTCTGTGTTGAAATAAAATGAAGGCTGAGATTTCGTTACGCGGCAGCAAGAGAAGTAGGATTCTGAATCTCTCTTTGGAGTCAAGTTGGTCTTTGAAAGAAAACCAATTTGCTTTAAGAGGTTCTAATCTAGCAGGATGCCAGACGACGGCAAGGATGCTTAAACGGAGGGTGTCGTACAGACTAAGGGACTAGTACATTGGAAGGACTACCTTCTGTTCCAGCAGAGGGTAATTAGGGTGTCAGCAATGCTGTTTTTTTACTACAAAGGACCACCAAGGACCTAGACCAAGAAGCTCCAGCAACATCTCATTATAGTGTACACAATCGACAGCAAAAGATAAAAGAAACAGATTTCTTTTATCAGACATTTATATTGCATTACTAATCTTTACAACGTTAAAATATCTTTCATTCTTTTATTTTGATTCACTGATTCTTTATTCCTGTTTGTGACTCTCTTTCTATTGTTGTTCTCGTTACCTGTTAATTCTGATCCGTTATTTTTGTTTGTAAAAGCATAAATGCTCTGAGGCATAGTTGTGTGTATTTAACCTATTAACTCTAGAAACATTACTATAAAGAAAAAAGAGATTGAGATTACAGATTATAACCATCATGTAAAAAAGAGTTTTACACAGTCAATACCTGAGTGTCCATACAGTGGGGAACTCTGAAGTAACAAGTAAAACGTCAAGGCCACGCAGGCCAGGGCTGTAGCATGCAAGTGGCAGGCAACCAGCTTTTCAGGATCTCGAGAAGGCAGGCTCTTTGCCACATACAGATATTTGAAGAAATAATATATTAGAATTATTGAAATAAAAATAATAGAAGTAATGGCTGATGCCTGACCAGATGCTGCTGACATATATATGTATATACATATAAATGGGGAGTAAATACCTATTTCTATGCTCTATAAATTCAGTGAAATTCCTAGTAAAGGCTGAAAACTGAATGGCACCAAGGAAATTTGTGTGCAGATTTTTATTCTTGCTAAAGATGATGAAACAACGTCAAACTTTGTGGTTCAAAATAATTTAAGAATCTTGTACCCTTTGTGTTTATTTTCTATTTCAACCAAGCATAGACTTTGGAAGGCACAGCCTCCCTAAGAATGTCTTCACACCACATCTTTTTCATTTGTAGAAGAACGTCTCAAAAGCCAAAGTTGGATCTCATTAAAATACTTTGATACTTCACAATACAACAAGTAGATTTTTCAGTTGTATGCCTTTATGCTGCACTTTTATAATATTCTTCCGTGATGCCACTATAATGCCACTAGTAGAGGGTATGTGCATAAACTTTATCAGTTTTTATATTTTAATGTAGTAAAACTTTATGAAAATCCTAAAGTTATGAAGATAGTTTTATATATCCTCTAAACTAGGAGTCAGCAAACTATGACCCACGAGCCAAACCTAGCCTGCCACAAAAATATTTACTATCTTCTCAGGCCTTTACAGAAAAGGTTTGCTGATCCCTCTACTAAACCTGTTGAAGGTATCTGGAATGCTGGATGGATTGTTTACAGTGGAATCAGTGTATGACTTAATTTGCTCTCCTTTATAAACATCATATACATTATTGCTTTTGAATATTATTATCCACTTGGAAAACAAATAAAAATAAAGTTATCTTAAAACAAAGACTTATATCCTTGAAATGTTTAGGACCAGCAAAACAATCACATATAAAAGCAGTATATTTTTAAGAAAAAAAAATAAATGAGCAACTTAAATTACATTTTTTAAGTAATGATTTCAAGGTTCCTCAGAGAAAGCCAGGCAGTAAAAGACAGATCTCAAAATTCATATAGCAGATTTTTGGTTTCCAAATTTCTGGGATTTAGTATTTAACACAGAATTTGAGACCCTACAATTGGTATGGAAGAGACATCGTGGAGAATTACTTGTCCAAAGGAAAAAAAAAAGCACGATATTTAAAAATAAGAAATCAACCCAAAAAAGAATGGTCAACAATTTAAACATTTTTTTTCCATTAACAGGGAGCTACATAGTCTGCTGGTGAAGGACTTGATAGAAATTGATTGTTTTCATTTAGTGGGCTCTGATCCCCGTATCTGTGTCAGATAAATCATAGCGCTTATTATTCGTTACCATGGATACCATGAAGATACTGCCATCCACTAAATCGTATTAGAGGAAGACAACATAATTTTCTGGAACTAGTCCTGTTTTGCCTTCATAAGTTGCCTTCAACCATCCTGGTTCCACTGATGGGTACACTGGCAAAATAAATAAATAGAAAAATCAATCCCACTCAATCAACATTGGTATCAAATAATTATATAAACAAATGGGTAAAAATCCACATCGGATTGTATACATACAGTCATTCCTCGGTATCTGAGGAGGATTGGTTCCAGGACGCCCTGTGTATACCAAACCTTGCAGATGATCAAGTCTTTCATATACGATGGCCTAGTATTTGCATATAACTTAGGCATATCCTTCTGTATACTTTAATTCATCTCTAGATTACTTATAATACCTAATACCATGTAAATTCTATGTAAATAGTTCTTATACTATATTGTTTTTTAAATTTGCATTATTTTATTGTTGTAGTGTCATCATTTATTTATTTTCTAATCTTTATGGGCTGTGGTTGGTTGAATCTGTGATATAGAACTGCTGGATATAGAGGGCCAACTGTACAAATTATCAAAACAAAACAATGTCACAGCCCTTTAAAGTTGGAATGCCCTTTGCATTCACATAATGAATAAAACTCTCTCTTATAACACACACACACACACACACACACACACACACACACACACAGAGGTATGTATACACAAACACCTGCAGGGAAGGAAACTAGGGTCCAAAAGGATTTTTTAAATTTTTATATATTTATTTTTTTTAGAGATAGGGTCTCACTATGTTGCTGAGGCTGGAGTGCAGTGGCTATTCACGGGCATGATCATTGCACACTGCAGCCTCGAACTCCTGGGCTAAAGTGATCCTCTCACCTCAGCCTCCTGAGTAGCTGGGGCTACAGGAATGCACCACCCAGAGGAATTTGATGTGTTCACTTATGCGGGTCATGAGAGGCAGGGCCTGGAGTAGAATAGGAGCCTCCCAGCTCCTACTTTAGATTCTCACCACCTTACTATTCCTCCTCCTTCCCCATGATGACACCCTTAAGCGAAGGGCATGGAGGTACTTACCATTAGAAAATATCGCCCCTTGTGGGAAGGAGAGCTCATGGCTGTGCTCTGCTTTACAGGAATACATGGCTTTGGCTTGGCTGAAAGATCAAGACAATTTGTAAAAACCACAACGCTTACTTGGATCTATTTACACTTAAAACTATTCTTAAAGAATGCTATTAATTTTTAGTTGTGATTGGAATACATATAGATGGGAAAGTGTACATTAGTACATTTTGTGCAAACTGAACACAATTGTGGAACACAATCAAGAAACTGAACATTACTAGCATACTAAAAGCCCTTCTTGTTTTTCCAGACAATGCCCCGTGAGGGTACCCACCTGGCTTATAACAAACAGCACAGGTTGGTTTTAAAGACTGTAATTATTTGATTGTTAGTAAGCTGCTAAACAGGCTCTTTTTACATCTACCTCGGTTTCTAGGTAGATATAAAAAGAGCCTATTTAGCGAGCTCTGAGGTGCCCAGGTACTTTAAAGCTTTTTGGTTTTCTGCCACTTTCATTTTCAAACTACTTGAGCAGAGATCCAAAAATTAAAAAAAGATTACAGGATATGGTAAAAGAGATGAGCAGGCATGATGTCAGGAAAAAAATAGGATAAGCTGATGATAAATGGCGACCAATCATAGCCTCACTGGCATGAAGCTGACGCGGAGAGATGGAGGCTTTGCAAACCACGGTGTGTCCGTCTCCTAAAAGGGGAAGCCAATGCTCCACTCCCAACTTCTGTCCCCATAGTGAATTCATGCTCAACGCTGCCAGCGCTCTGGTTTTTTAAGAGTGGCCAGGCTTTCGGGGTTTTATATGAGATCTGAATCCATACATTTTTGCCATCATCTGAGGCTGCTAATCAAAGTAACGGGCAAGCCTCCTTCACTCTGCAACCTTCAGTGACCTTGGGAAGACTTGCAACTTATCCTGATGCCACCCACTTACCATTGCTTCCACAACCAGAGTCCAAGAGAATATCATTTCTGGCCTGGTTGCCTGAATGGCTTCCTAAAACCTCTAGGCTTGCTCTTTTGCTCCCTTGCAATCCATTACCCACAGAGCAGCCAGAGGAAAGTTTTAAAATGTCCACGGGATCATGTTACTTCCCTGATGACAACCCTTCAACTGGCTCCTTGCTATGGCCTATAAACCCTACACTCACTCCTACCTCTGTGTACCTGCCCCTGCTCCCCTCCTCCACGCCTGTCACTCAGCCCCCTGCCCTCCCTCAAACATGCCAAACTCATTCCCACCTCAGAGCTAGCTGTGCCCACTCCCATGGAAGATATTTTTTCTCTTGCTCTTCACATGTCTACGCACGTCAGGTTCATCTTAAATTTCATGAGCTTTGCTGAAGGTCGGGCCTCCCCGGACCACATACTCTAATTAAAATAGTCCCCCCACCCCCCACCCCCGGCATCTACCATATCCTCCTGCTTCAAGTCTACATGGTGTTATAATAATTTCTAGTACTCTGCTGTTATTACTGATATTTTTTGTATCTTCTCGCCTAACTAGAATGTAATCTCCACAAACAATGCCTCATACTTAGTAGTTAACTGAGTAAATATTTGCTAAATGAATTAGTGGAAAAAAAAGGAAAGACAATCTGGGCTCTTCTTCTCTATGATGAGTCCTTTTAAAGATACCTACAAAGAAACATCAGCAGTACTTGCTGTCCGCAGTTCTCCCAAAGCAGCAGAGCTACTTTATGATTCCTTTTTCCTTCTGCAGCTGCAAGACCCTGGGTCTTAGTCCCTGCACTAAGCATGGGGCGTGGTCATCTAAAATGGGGTTCCAAAAGACTATCTGAAGACTAGGAAGCTTACTGAGGAAAATTCTGGGCCTGCCCCCAGAGTCTGTTTCATTTGAGGTCAGTCTCAGGCTGTTCTTTCAGAAAGCTCGCTGGGGGAGCAGGCTTGGAATGACCATCAGCCCACAAAACACACTTCCCAGCAAAACAAGGTCTAAGGAAGAATTAAGGAAGGAAAGGCACCCCGAGGAGGACAGGGCTTTACATCCAAAAAGAACTGTGTGTGTGTGCACGTGAACACATGCACTTGGGTGTGTTGGATGCGTATAGGTGGGGAGTGAGGATGCTACCAAATTCTGGAGCCTTCTAAGAATCAGACTTCGGTAGTCTTAAACAGAATATTAGTTTTTCCCTATATATCTTCTAGTCAAGTATAACCATTTGATCTGATCAAGATGTAACTGAGGATTGCATAGCCATTTCCCTAAAAATATTGTCAAGGTTTTTCAAAAAATCAAATTTTCTAACAGCAACAATTTCTTCCAAGACACACTGTCTTATTTCTTTGAGTCATTAAGATAAATTATTAAG